CAGAAGTAGATTGCCCAACCTTCCTTCCAAGGAGTGGCTGGTGGGTTTGAACTGCCAGCCTTCTGGTTAGCAGTCTGGTTAGCACTTGCCTTAGGCACTACACTACCAGAGCTCTGGAAGGCATTAAGTTCAAAAATAAAAGAAGGTACATTTGCCTGAAGGATACGGAATAAAAGAAACCAAGAGGCATTTGCAGAATAGAGATTTCAATCTGCCAAAATAAAATCAAGATATTGTTTGTTATGCATTAGATGATCCAGATATGAAATAATCTAACCATTGTCCTGAAAGAGTTTGGAGTTAAACATATTCTATTTAAAAATGAGATAATGATTGTGAAAGCACTTTATAAAACTTTAGTGTGACATCCAAAGTTAAGGAAAAAATGCTCCATGACATTATGGTATGGAATTGGCAAACCTTGGCCTACATTGACAATATTATATGATTCCCCCAAACATTTTGAATTTGTGTGGTTTTAAATCATGTGGAGAAATACTACTTTAGTGCATTATGCAACCAAAATCTGTGAGGAAACCATATTTTCCTTGAATCAACCTTGAGTTGTAGACATCTATGAAAAATTTATGACCCAGAGCAATCTGTTATCTTGGATTAATGAGAGAAACAAGTTTAAATCAGATAGAAATAGATCATAAAGATACAAAGATTGCCAAAACTGGAAGATGTCTGTTCCCAATGTACAGAATATCTATTGAATATGTGTTTTAGCCTAGAAGATTTCTCTATCCATATGACCAAAAAAAAATTACATTGTAACCAACATGTGACTTTTTTTTTTTCTTGCAGGTCAATTAATAGAAATGTTTAAAAATGTTGAGGAGCTGAAAGAAGAACTGAGAAGAACAGCAGGAATGTCCAACACAAGTGTCAACAAAATGTTGGCCATTCCTATCCCAGATAACAGGGCTGAGGTGGGGTATAATATACCTGGACTCACATCCATTTTATAAGAGTTTGAATAGGATTTAGTACTTTCTGAGCACTAATCAGTAAAACATTGGCAAATACATGCAAGTATAGTGAATTTTCCATGATAATAAATGATAAAAACAAAAACAAACAAACAAAAAAACAAACTCACTGCCCTCGAGTCGGTTCCAACTCTATATATATGTACACATATTGCTTGTAGTAGTACCAATACCAACTAACTAAGCAGATATACATTTTTTTTTGAATTGATAAATGTTGGTTGCTTGTTATCAACTACTAAATATTTAGAATAATGTTACTCATCTATTTATCACTCTTTCTTCCTTCTGGAAAGCTGTCACAACTTCGAAACTTGACCGAACTTCTTTGTGAATCTGAAACTTTCAGTTCAATAGAAAAAATGTGCCAGCTTTCTAATATGAGCTTTGGGAACCTGTGTGAAGATAGTGCATTTCATGTACAATTCCTGGAGGCAGCAGAGGTTGGTCTGGAAATAGCATCCAGCTTACTATACCATGAAAATGTCATATCTGAAAAACTAAGAGATTTGCTTACTGGAGATCCAAGCAAAATTAATCTAAATATGGATCAGTAAGTTTTTTTCATTGTTTTCTTCCTTAATGAAATCCCTTCTCAAAATGCTGATATGTCTAGTTGAATTTCTCCTCTTCTGTTTTGTTCCAGGTTTCTAGAACAGGCATTGCAAACGAATTACTTGGAAAATATCACACGGTTAATGCCGACAGTAGAAGCCATGCTGCATGTCAATAGCAGTGCAGATACTTCTGAAAAACCAGGTGTTTCCCCATCCATATCTTAAAAGCTATCTCAACCAGTCTGCTTCCGTAAAGATTTACAGCCTTGGAAACCCTATGGGGCAGTTCTACTCTGTCCTACAGGGTCATTATGAGTCGGAATTAACTTGACGGCAGTGGATTTGGATTTGGTTTTACTAGAATGCATGTGATTCTCAGCTGCAGTATAAGAAAGGCTTTTTAAAGTTCCCACCCAAACTTGCTGTGCTATCTCTCTTCACCTGTTGCCATCAAGTGAATTCTGTCTCATGACAACCCTATTGAACAGAGTAGAACTGCCCCATAGGGTATTCAAGGCTGTAATCTTTATGAGAGCAGACTGTCACATCTTTCTCCTGCTAAGTAGCTGGTAGGTTTGAACCCTTGACCTTTCACTTAGCAGCTGACTGTTTTAATCACTGTGCTACTGCATGAAAAATCTGAAGCTTTCAAATATTGTTGCTTATCTAAACACACTAGAAACTAGCAGAAAAATTTAAATTCACAGCAAAAAAATCTTCAAGTATTTGACTAGTTAGTTCATTTACTTGCATGAGCTGGGATGAAAATTTATTTGCTTCTATGACATTAATCTGATTTAAAAAATAAAAAAAAGATGTACTGTTATCTAAAGAAATCTCAAGTTAGAACGTTTTTAGTATTCTGAGCATGATTAGTCACACGATATGTCCCTTCTTTGCATAATATCTCAATACTGAAATAAAAGCATTCAAAATCATGGTCAACAGGCCCCACAAAATTGGAAGGGCACTGTTATTGTTGTTGCTGTTGTTGTTGTTATGTGCCGTTGAGTCAGACCCGACTCATAGCGACCCCTCCTTGGGTTTCAGAGGTGGTATCACTACAGAAGTAGATTGCCCAACCTTCCTTCCAAGGAGTGGCTGGTGGGTTTGAACTGCCAGCCTTCTGGTTAGCAGTCTGGTTAGCACTTGCCTTAGGCACTACACTACCAGAGCTCTGGAAGGCATTAAGTTCAAAAATAAAAGAAGGTACATTTGCCTGAAGGATACGGAATAAAAGAAACCAAGAGGCATTTGCAGAATAGAGATTTCAATCTGCCAAAATAAAATCAAGATATTGTTTGTTATGCATTAGATGATCCAGATATGAAATAATCTAACCATTGTCCTGAAAGAGTTTGGAGTTAAACATATTCTATTTAAAAATGAGATAATGATTGTGAAAGCACTTTATAAAACTTTAGTGTGACATCCAAAGTTAAGGAAAAAATGCTCCATGACATTATGGTATGGAATTGGCAAACCTTGGCCTACATTGACAATATTATATGATTCCCCCAAACATTTTGAATTTGTGTGGTTTTAAATCATGTGGAGAAATACTACTTTAGTGCATTATGCAACCAAAATCTGTGAGGAAACCATATTTTCCTTGAATCAACCTTGAGTTGTAGACATCTATGAAAAATTTATGACCCAGAGCAATCTGTTATCTTGGATTAATGAGAGAAACAAGTTTAAATCAGATAGAAATAGATCATAAAGATACAAAGATTGCCAAAACTGGAAGATGTCTGTTCCCAATGTACAGAATATCTATTGAATATGTGTTTTAGCCTAGAAGATTTCTCTATCCATATGACCAAAAAAAAATTACATTGTAACCAACATGTGACTTTTTTTTTTTCTTGCAGGTCAATTAATAGAAATGTTTAAAAATGTTGAGGAGCTGAAAGAAGAACTGAGAAGAACAGCAGGAATGTCCAACACAAGTGTCAACAAAATGTTGGCCATTCCTATCCCAGATAACAGGGCTGAGGTGGGGTATAATATACCTGGACTCACATCCATTTTATAAGAGTTTGAATAGGATTTAGTACTTTCTGAGCACTAATCAGTAAAACATTGGCAAATACATGCAAGTATAGTGAATTTTCCATGATAATAAATGATAAAAACAAAAACAAACAAACAAAAAAACAAACGCACTGCCCTCGAGTCGGTTCCAACTCACAGCAACCCTTCATTGGGCTTCCGAGGTGGTATCTCTATGGAACGAGATTGCCCAGTCTTCCTTCTGAGGAAAATGATAAAAGTAGAGGCTTCATTCTTAAGTAAAGCTAGCAGAACAATTCTAAAGCAAGAATATCGCCACTGTGTTTTCCTTCCCCTGGCTGGCCCCTTTGTTTTCTTTTCTTTACCTCCAGATGGCTGTCTTAAATAATCAGTACCATCAATAATTCTTCATATTAGCCCACACAGTCACAGTCTGAAGAATGTTGTGCACTCTATTGTGATGCTACCAAAGCCAAGTTTCAGTAACTTAATAGGGAGAGAGGGACAGCACAAAAATCTGTTGAAACTAAAACAAAAATGAATACTCATTTTTATTTTTTAAAAGTTCCAAGGTATGTAGAAAAGCTTTAGAATATAAAGTGATGTGGTCAAAGGAACTCTGGGTAAGTTTGTGGCTATAGTAAACATTTTTTAGTGTGAAAATGAATAATGTTATTTCCTTATAGTCAGATAATAGGGTTTTCCTCTTGAAATGTCTTATTTTTTTATCCCTTTTCCAAGTCCATTGTCTGGAAGTATCATAGAAAGTTTCCAAAAGAGCTACAGAGCTTAAGGTCTCACCCATTCATAACCTACATGTGACAGAGTGTGTCATTTCTAAGTACACTCCAGTTATTCTCCAGTGTGGGATAAAATTTTTGAAAAGTCTTTAAGGCAGCCTTTGGGAAAAAAAAAAAAATGGAGGTTTACTGGTGTCATTTTAATTGGTTCCCCCATATAAAAATTAAAGCTGCTTTGCCTTCACTTGTCAGCCTAGCAAACAATATTCATTCACCTTTTTTCCTTTGATATCTTCTTTTTGCTCATTTGGTCCTAAGATCTAATTATGTCAATCACATTTTGGATTGCTGATGAATGGGTTTATGTTGATAAATAAAAACACATTAAAGGAGAGTGTACATTAGTATTATTTTCTAGAAGAAAGAAAAATTTGTACAATCTTTAATTTCATAAACTTTCCTCCTTGTTTCCACTCAGTGGCAAAAGAGATGATGTCTCACTTCCCATATGGACACTTGACTTTCTACACAAACATTCCCGTCCAAGATGATGAATTCACATTATTGGGCATAGTTCTCTGGGCTTCTTTTCTTTGCCTTTCCTCTCTGGATCCAGAGTTCATTGTACGGTATTGCAACTTAAAATGATTATGAAAATGAAAGGCAATTTGAATTAACCAAGAGTAAAATTTTAAAGGTGGCAAGAATCTTAAACAAACTTTTTTTTTTTTTTCCCCAAACTTCCTCCACATCAAGATCTTTCTTGGTACCAGCAGTTGCCTAGTCATTCAAACAAGAGGTCTGGGAGTCATCCTCCATTCCTCATTATCATTTTCTCATTTTATTTCCCAAGCTGTCCAGTGAAATATGGACTCTATATAGTTATAATGGAGCTCTAGTAGTATAGTGCCTAAGGCACTTAAATGCTAACTAGAAGGCTGACAGTTCAAATCCTTCAGCCACTCCTCGGGAGGAAGATTGGGCAATCTACTTCCGTAGAGATACCACCTCCGAAACCCAAGGAGGGGTCATTATGAGTCGGGTACGACTCGACGGCACATGACAACAGCAACAACATATAGTTTATTAATAGCAATTGATGCTTTAAATAAAAAGTATTTGATTTCTGGAGATAATTTGTCCTACTTTTAAATGAAGTTTAGGACTAACAAAAAGCCTCTCAAAATGGACTGATGAGTCAACAATGACGCATAGCTATAACATTTTTCTTCCTCCAACTTGCAGATTATTTCACGTGTGTTCTGGTTGCATTCTTGTGATGCTAACATTTCCAATCCCAAACTGGAAGATGCGATGAAGGAATTCTGCAACCTGCCTCTTCCAGAGAGGTCCCGCCAGTCTTACCTCATTGGACTCACCCTTCTGCACTACTTAGATATTTACAACTTTACGTACAAGGCAAGTTGCTGTTGATGAAATCTTTTTATATTCAGGTTTCAGTATAAAGAAAAATTTCATTGCATGTTTCTACCCTCTGGTAGCATAAGGGGTGAGATCCATTTATATAGCTTTTGGAATTACAGCATTATTTTAGAATTAAATGGGACTTCAGAGATTATATATTGAATGTTGCTCACTTTATAGATGAAGAAACTAATATTATAGCCTTATTAATTTTCAGTTTGTATATCCAAGACTAGAAATTAAGTTTAATATACACTGAAGTGTAAAATGCAAATGTTATCATTATTTTTTACAGTGAACATGCATTAATTTGGAATATAAAAATAAAGATGAGAACAAAGTTGTTATATTTTAAATATTGAAGACACAGTTTGGAGTAGTTGTTTTTGTGGGCTTTTTTTTTGTTGTTGTTGTTGTTATTTTTTGCAGGAGTGTTCTTAAAAAATTTCACATGGTTTTATTAAATTAAGTAGAAGCTACTATTACCATCCAGAACTGCAAACAAATAGTCATTATCATGACTTAGTCAAATCAGTGCTGATACCATCTTGCAATAAGAAGATGCTTTATATGTATTTATTTAATAAATAATTAAAAGAAAACAAAACAGAAAATTTTAACACCTATATGCATCCAAGTTTATATGTAGGTAGAAAATATATATTTGTTATCAAAAATAATGAGAAAAAAAAATGTCTTTTTCTTTACCAGATGCAACAAAGCTGCCTTATGGTGTTGAGACATTATAGTAATGGGATGAAAATATTTTAGGGCTGGTTATAAACAGTCCTGTTCTGAATTATGTTCTCCCTGCAGTTGTATTTCTGTACAAATGTAGCCTCCTAACTGGTCTCCCTGCCTCTGCCCTTACCCCCTTACCCTCACCACACCCCAAGAAGCCAATCTTCCTTTTAAACTTTAAGTCACATATGTAACATTCTGCTCAAAACCTCTTAGCAGCTCCCCACTTTCTTCAAGTAAATTCCTAAATCTTGAAAAACCTCAGGAGGTGCGTGAAGTTTTTCCCTTCATATCTTGAAAATGTCATCTTTGCTTGGCTGCTCTCTGGTCTCATGGCTGTTGCCTGGCACCACTCCCGGAGGCAACCTTCATGTGATTAACTGGCTGCTGTCTTTATTCAGTCCAGACCTTCTCACTGAGGCCTACTCTACCCACCCTATTTAAAACCCCACTGATCTTCCCTGTAACACTAGAAAACACCCTTTCCTGCTCCATTTGTTTTCAATTACATTTCTAGCATATTAGATATTTTACTCAGTTTTCATGTTTGTCATCAGTCTATCCCCACTATCATGTAAACTCAATAATTGACATCTTTGTTTGCTAAAACATTCAAAATGCCTAGGAGAGTGCCTGGTTCATGGGGGAACTTAGAAAACACCCATTAAGTAACACATGGTTATTTTACATAACCTAAAATGCATAGGAAGTAACATATTAATTGTATTCACTTAAAAATTTTATTTTTATTTTAAAATGCTTGCACAGAGCAGGAGTCAAATGAAATATATCTTTTTGAGTCTAGTAATTGCGCATGTATATTTAACAAGCAAGAGCCTTTCTAATTCGTTTAAGCATTACAAATAAAAATTAATATTTCCCATCACTTGCCAATTTATTTCAATTTTTGCCTTCTACATTATAGTCAAGACTCTAGGAACTCCTAGAGCTTTGGAAGAACAAGAAGGAAAATTGAAATATTGGTTCTAATTTATGGATATGTTATTGCAGTTAGTAGCCATTCTACTGAGAAAGATATTTCTCTGTGAATGAGGGCTCTAAAGTGAAGAGAATATGAGGACAAACTACCTTTCCAAATGAATCTTTTGCCCACAATGGTGGTCATTGACTTCCTTGGGCACACTAGGAGTTTACCTTCCTAAAGCCTCTTCTGTCTATAACCTTCTTCTTATTTTTTGCATGGTGTTCTTTCTTATCTTTTTGGATTCCACCTTGGAGAGACTTCCTTTCATTTGTTACCTAAATTTTCCTCACTCTCTACTATTCCCCAGGTTTTTCTCCTTGACTTGCTTGATGACTGTTCCTTCCAGACACTCCATAAGTGCAGGGATGATGCCAAATTTTACACCACAGTATACCCATCACCACACCCAGTACTAGCAACAAAGTAAACCAAACCCATTGTCATTAAATCAATTCTGACATAGCAACTCTATAGGACAGAGTGGCACTGCCCCATAGGGTTTCCAAGGCTATAATCTTTATGGAAACACCACATCTTTTTCTTACGGAGCAGCTGGTGGGTTTGAACCACTGACCTTTCAGCTAGTAACCAAGCATTAACCACTGCAGTACCAGGGCTCCTAGTCAGCACAGTAAGCACTCAATTAATGTTTGAAATGAGTGACTGCATGAGACAGTTAAATTACTTTAACATATTTTCAATGTTTCTTCTTGCAGCAGATAAGCAATATGTTACTAAAATGATTCATCTTGATATATCCCTTGGGCTTTTTGACACAGCCTTTCTGAATTTGAGGTGTACATTATAGGATTTTTGAGCAATAGTGTCCATGATGAATTATGTTAATAACTTTTGCTTTACTGACTTTTAAAATCATTTTTGACGATTTTGAGGTATAATTTATATACCATAAAATTTACTTGTTAGTGTGCAATCCAATGATTTTCAGTCAATGTTCAGAATTGAATCTATTTTTTGACTATAGATTTGACTTTTGTAGAATTTTTGTCTATAGATTTGACTCTTGTAGAATTTCGTATAAATTGAATCATGGAGTATGTGATTTTTTGTATTTGGCTTTTTTCACTTACCATGTTTTGTGGTTCATCCGTGCTACACTAGGTATCAGCATTTTATATCTTTTTATTGCCAATTAGTATTCCATTGAAGGGACATACCACATGTTGTTTATCCATTTATCGAGCTCTGGTAGCATAGTGGCTAAAGCACTTGACTGCTAACCAGAAGGCTGGCGGTTCAAACCCACCAGCCACTCCTCGGAAGGAAGGTTGGGCAATCCTACTTCCGTAGTGATACTGCCTCGGAAACCCAAGGAGGGGTCGCTATGAGTCAGGGCTGACTCGACGGCACATAACAACAACAACAACAACAACATTTCCACTTTTTGGTTATTGTGAGTAATGTTGCGATGAATACTCACATAGAAATCTTTAAGTGGGTATATGGTTTTATTTCTCTAGGACCCATACCTAGTAATGGAGTTTCTGGGTTGTATGTTTAAATATTTAATAAATTGTCAACATTGTTTTTCAAAGTAACTACATCTATACATTTCCACCAACATTGTCTGAAGGTCTCAGTTTCCTGACATAAGTCATTTGCTTTCACTGTTTCTTGTAGGTACTTTTCCCTCGGCAGGATCAAAAGCCAGTAGAAAAGATGATCGAACTCTTCATCAGACTGAAGGAGATTCTCAATCGTATGGCTTCCAGCTCAAGTTTGATGCTAGACAAAATGAGATCTCTGAGACAAATGCATCTGCCCAGGAGTGTTCCATTCACTCAGGTAGAGAAGGTGTGCAGAAATGTTCTTGTAAAATGCCTTCTGTCATATTAACTTTCACTTGAGGTCAATGATAATATCTTCAGCAACAACTTTAGTAAATGAAAAGCACCTGCAGGGAAACCCTTCAACTTGGGCGGCTTTATCTGCTACTAAATTGGCAAAGTTTACCATTTCTGCATTTACATTTGGGATGCCCATTTTAAAGGAACTATGGAAAAATTATAAAGATACTGTAAGCATTTTCAGGTGTTTTTTTTTCCTCCTATTTTGCTCTCTGGAGCATCTATAGCTCCTATCATATTAACAAATCACTGATTTTTATCTGACAGGAAATATACCGAGGCAACCAAATGAACACCCCCCACGGATCATTTAGTACCATCTCCCAAGCATTGTGCTCCCAAGGAATTACCACGGAGTACTTAATTGCCATGCTGCCCTCTTCCCAGAAGCCAAAAGGCAACCACACTAAGGATTTTTTGACTTACAAATTAACTAAAGAGCAAATTGCTTCAAAATATGGAATTCCCTTAAATGCCAGTGAGTATACTTCAAAATAAACTTGGTAGTGTTATTTAATGACATTGTCTATTATATATTCTCATTCAATAATGAATGAAACACTAATTTTCCCAAGAATAAAATGAGAAAACACTAATAAAGCACCTGTCACATGCCCAGCAATTTTTGTTTATTAACTTATTTACTTTCACACCAACCTTATGGGGTAAGAACTACTATTATCCCATTTTACAGAAGGGGAAATGAGGCACGCAGAGGCTAAGTCACTTGGCAAAGCTCTTCCATCTGAAGTCAGAGCTATGATTTGAACCCAGACAGTCTGCTGGAAGTCTATCCTCTTCACGACGGCACTAAGAATTTTTGAAGCCTAAATAGGCCTGCCTTGTCAGTAGATAATGCAAAAATACACCTTAAATCTGCTCTGGTCAATATTTTTTTCTTAACTTTCTAGAATTAGAAATTTATGTCACACAAGGTAGAGCTTCAAGAGTGCAGCAGAACCTATAAATGTTTAGTGGTGCATCAAAGTTGTTTACTTGATCTATAAAGTTTAAGATGGAAAATATGATCAGCTGAGCTTTTTCCAAATAATATATGGGTGTTTAGTACAGCAATGAGATCGACTCATTTATGTATTTTTTTTATTCGTTCAGCAAATAGTTATTGAACACTCTTGTGTATCAGGTACTATCCAGTAACAAGGTTTTGTGTTGTCTTTTAATAAAATGCTTGTGAGATGGATCAGTTGGAAGCAATTCTGAAAAGCAGTTTCAATCTTGCTATCTCTTCTTGGCAAAATACCATCACTTACTCTGGGCTTACTTAGTGGCTTGAACTTTCACACCTAAAAAAGATTTGTTACTAGGCTTTCCCACTTTGATACTAGGTGCCACACACCTGTTAATAACACAGGAAATGCTAAGATGTGTATTTTAGGGTGTGATCATAATAAGTTGTGTCAATTTATCATAAGGAAATAGATTTGAAATACATGTATTCAATGGTTTTATTTCACTTTTTCTTCTCAGCCCCGTTTTGCTTCTCCCTTTATAAAGACATCATTAACATGCCAGCTGGACCTGTGATTTGGGCTTTCTTGAAACCTATGCTGTTGGGAAAGATTTTGTATGCACCGTATACTCCAGTCACAAAAGCAATAATGGAAAAGGTTTGACCATTATAACTCAAAATTCCTATTTTAAGATGATTTTTAAAGTAGTCAACTTCCAAATTTACTCTAGCTTACTTGATTACTTTATATCTTACCTACTATTACCCCTGATTTTCTGAAACTCTTTATAATTCTCAACTTTTCCCCTGTATTATGTGAAAGCAATGTAGGTTGGATGGTAACCCTTTGAAGAAAAATGGATCATGTTGACAATTGAGAATGAGGTCACAGTGAAGCAACACCTCAGATTTTTCAATTTATCTCAAAAAACAACAACAAAAAAATATTCCTACAATTGGTTTCTGAAAGAATTGGAAAATAATGTCACTAGGGAAAAATAATATTAAAGCATTATATAACTGGTTTGAATAAAAACAATCTCTGAAGTATAGTTTCTTGGCTTCATATTTGGCTGAACATTTTAATATCTTATATTTATATAGAGGATAGATGTGGATAAAGACAACATTATTAATAGTAAGTATATTTACCTAAGGAGCTCTGGTGCCATAGTGCCTAAGGTATTTGACTGCTAATCAGAAGGCTGGCTGTTCAAACCCACCAGCCACTCCTGGGTAGCAAGACTGGGCAATCTACTCCCATAGAAATATCACCTCAGAAACCCAAGGAGGGGTCGCCATGAGTTGGTATCGACTTGACGGCAGTGAGTTTGGTTTTATTTTGAGTTTTATATCTACCTAACTTAACCATTGTAGTATTTCCCTCTCTCTTTTAAAATTGACTTTAATGATTTGAATTATAAATTTAATACGTCTAAGATAAGAGATGAAATGAAAAAGAAAAAATCCCTATGTTAGTTTTTTACCATTACTTGCTCACTAAATTATAGTTTATGTGAACATAACCTTACTTTTAGGTCTCTATAAAAGTAGATAATATAAAAATTGGTAATGAAATTTGGATGCCTCTGCTGTATAATTATATCCAGCAGAAATGTATTCATGTTCACCTGGAAAAGAATTAAAAATAGACATGAGGTTATCACCAATTTCTAGAACATTCTTTTTTTTTATTATTTGAATTTTAATTCTTTATTTGCTTTGTTGATGACACACTTCTAAATAATTTTGTACAGATGAAGTCATATTCATGTTTGCTTTTTACAGAGAGTGTTGTTTTTCTCTTCTATTTTCTGTTTGGCGTATGACTGCCCTTTTTCTCTCATCTTGATCCTACTCTTCTTTTCATGCAACCTGTGCAAGTTGACCTTCAAGAATGTATCTTCTTATTATTTCTCTGTATTCTCCTAATCCTTTACATGTATTTTAGCACATACACATTAATAGTCAGAGTTCTTTGGTATTTGTTATATTACTAAAATGAGAGTGCAACATGATAATTTTGTTTGTATTACTTTTCTCAGAAGCCACAATATCTGGTGGAAGTGCTGCCAACTCAATCAGGACAGTTTAATTCATTCTCTTTAAAGATTGTGTTTCTTTTTTCACATCAGAGTTTATTCAATCAGTCCGCATTTGTTGGGCATTCATTTTATTTCCAGGCTTTCCTTTCCTAATATAAACAAATTGGCAACAAATTCTCTTGAACATATGTTATTTTTATTTCAACAAGGTGGATGTTCAGGATTAAAGGATAGTGTATTTTCTTTTATTTTAATATGTGTTGTCAGATTGCTTTGTAAAAGTGCAAATACAACCTTTTCCACCAGCAATATATGTAGAGGAGAATTCTCTCTATGTCTTTGAACTAGCATGTTTCTTAAGTAGTAATGTGAAGGGTAAATGTGACTATGTTGTCAAAACTGCAAACGTTATATCTTCATTTTGGCTGTAAATTCACTGGACATGAAGCAACCCCTGACTTCTCCAGAATTTTTATAAATGATTGAAACTGCCATTTAAAACTTTTGACCATGTGGGAAATTTCTGGCAATATTTATTTTTACTAACTCCACTTTTGGGAGCTGCTTTTTAAAGTTTTGTAACAAAGCAACCTTAAAAATCCTTTTGAAACATGAAAAATACTAACAGACTAGTTCTGTTTTGTTTCTTTGTCTTTAAGTCTAATGTAACTCTGAGGCAGCTGGCAGAATTACGGGAGAAATCTCAAGAATGGATGGATAAATCACCACTTTTCATGAATTCCTTCTATCTGCTAAACCAGACAATTCCAATGCTCCAGGTAGGAGAGGGTTCTGCTGCTCACCTTAGTAGAAATTATAGTTATTCAGGTTTTAATGCCTTCATTATGTGAATTGGGAGATAGTAACTATGAATCCATATTCAACAGATGAAAATTGCCTTTTTTCCAGAGACTGAGTCTGAGGCAGGATAACAGATCTGTCGCTCATGTTTATAGTCATCCTCACCTCTTGTACTGCAACTACGCTGTAATTCAGAGATAAGACATTTTACATGTTGATCTTCAGAGAAAACTAGTCATGCAAATCTATTTTACAAAAGGAAAAAGCTATTTTTAAAAAAAAGTCCTTTAAAATATGTTTATTTCTTCACCCAAATCAGAATTATATATATTTATTTCACTTATTTATTTAAATATGTTTTTCTATTTTAACAAAATCACAATTCTTCAATTAGTAATATTCCAGAGAAGAACATTGTCTCTGGGGAGTCCTTTGGTTAAAATATATGACATATGTGTAATGAAATACCAAATTTATTCTAACATTGTACACAGGGTGTCTTCATATATGTAGTTATCTAAGTGTCTTAAACTTAAGTCACTTAAGGATGCAAACATTATCATAAGTGGAAAAAATATTCTTACCAATTAACCCCTTCATAAAATGAGTCCTCAATCAAATAATCCTCATGCTCACTCTAGTTTAAGTTAAATATTTGCCAGTGAAATTCAAATACTATGCATACTAATTACAAAGTGTAAAGTGTAATTCTTGCAAAAGATACAGTGTTTTCTGAAGATGATGTAAATAATGCGGGGGAAATGTTTCGATCACAAGCAGAACTATTAACAAATAAAAATCAAAGAGCAGAATTAGATGAGTTATTAACTCATATATATATAAAAGAAATTGACAGGAGTGATGTCAATATAGAAGCTTCAAAAGAGAAGGGCTTGCAGATCCAAGAATTGAGAGAGGCTCTTGGAGAACTGGGAGCAGCTAGGGGAGACCAGGAAGGAAGCAGGAGCCAGTGGTGGGCCAGAACAGCTAGGGAAGGCCAGGAAGTGAGTGGAGTGGTTTGGAACAGGTAAGGCAGATGAACTTGTCTGTCAGTTTGTCTTACTGTGGTGGCTTGCATGTTGCTGTGAGGCTGGAGGCTATGCCACCAATGTTTCAAATGCCAAAAGGGTTACCTATGGTGGACAGGCTTCAGTGAAACTTCCAGACTAAGACAGACTCAGAAGAAGGAAGAGGCCCTCAACTTCTCAAAGAATTGGCGAATGAGAACCTTAAAAATAAGTGAAACACTGATATATTACTGGAAAATTTTATGGATAGTCCTGAAGCATTGTCTGATATAATGCCAGGAGATAAGCCACTCAGGTTGGAAGGCACTCAAAGTACAACTGGGAAAGTGTTGCCTCCTCAGAGTAGAGCCAACTCTAATGATGTGGATAGAGCATAGCTTTTGGGACCTCTATTTGCTAATATGGCATGACTCAAAATGAGAAGAAACAGCTGCAAACATCCATTAATAATTGGAGCAAAGAATGTACGAAGTGTGAATGTAGGAAAATTGGAAGTTGTCAAAAATGAAATGGAACACATAAGGATTAATGTCCTAGGCATTAGTGAGCTGAAATGGATGGGTTTTGGGCATTTTGAATCAGACAGACATATGATCTACTATGCTAGAATGACAAATTAAAGAGGAATGGCATGGCATTCATCATCACAAAGAATGTTTCAAGATCTGTCCTGAAGTGCAATACTGTCAGTGATAGGATACTATCCATATGTCTACAAGGAAGGCCAGTTAATACTGCTATTATACACATTTACAGACCAAGCACCAAAGCTGAAGATGAGGAAGTTGAAGATTTTTACCCACTTCTACAGTTTGAAATTGACTGAGCAAGCAATCAAGATGTGTTGATTATCACTGGTGATTGGAATGCAAAAGTTGGAAACAAAGAAGAGTTACTGGTAGTTGGAAAATATGGCCTTAGTGATAGAAATAATGCTGGAGATTGCATGATAGAATTTTGCAGGACCAACAACTTATTCATTGCAAATACCTTTTTTCAACAATACAAACAGCAGCTATACATGTGGACTTTGACAGATGGAGTACACAGGAATCAGATTGACAACATCTAGGGCAAGAGGCGATGGAGAAGCTTAATATCTTCAGCCAAAGCAAGGTCAGGAAGATGATGACAATTAAAACAAATTCACAAAAACCAAAATGCGACCTTAATTATATCCCTCCTGAATTTAGAGATCATCTAAAGAATAGATTTGATGCAATGAATACCAATGACTGAAAACCAGAGGAATTGTGGGACGACATCAAGAACATGAAGAAAGCAAAAAATCATTAAAAAGATAGGAAAGGAAGAAAATACCAAAATGGATGTCAGAAGAAACTCTGAAACTTGCCTTTGAATGGAGAGTAGCTAAGGCAAATGGAAGAAGTGACAAGATAAAAGAGCTGAACAGAAGATTTCCAAGAGCAACCTGAGAAGACAGTCAATTATTATAATGAAATGTGCAAAGACCTGGAGTTAGAAAATCAAAAGGGAAGAATGCACTAAGAATTTCTCAAGCTGAAAAAACTGAAGAAAAAATTTAAGCCTCAGGTTGTAATACTGAAAGATTCTATGGGCAATATATTGAATGATGCAGGAAACATCAAAAGAAGATGGAAGGAATACACAGTCACAGTACCAAAAAGAATTGGTTGATGTTCCTGCATTTCAAGAGGTAGCATATGATCAAGAACCAATGATATTGAAGGAAGAAGTCAAAGCTGCACTGAAGGAGCTGGTGAAAAAACAGGGCTCCAGGAACTGATGGAATACCCATTGAGATGTTTCAACAAATGGGTGACGCACTGGAGGCACTTACTCGGCTATGCCAAGGGATTTGGAAGAAGCTAGCTGGCCAACTGACTGGAAGAGATCCATATTTGTACCCATTCCCAACAAAGATGATCCCACAGAATATGGAAATTATCAAATAATGTCATTAATATTACACCCGAGTAAAATCTTACTGAAGATAATTCCAAAATGGTTACAGCAGTATACTGACAGAGAACTTCCAGAAATGCAAGCTGGAGGCAGAGGAGGAACAAAGGATATCATTGCTGATGTCAGAAGGATCTTGACTGAAAGCAAAGAATACCAGAAAGATGTTAACTTGTATTTTATTGACTATGCAAAAGCATTCTATTATATGGATCATAACAAATTATGGATAATATTGAAAAGAATGTGAATTCCAGAACATTTAACTGTACTCATGAGGAACCTATACATAGACCAGGAGGCTGTCATTCTAACAGAACTAGGGGCACTGCATGGTTTAAGATCAGGAACGGAGTGCATCAGGGTTGTATCCTTTCATCATACTTATTCAATCTATATGCTGAGCAAATAATCCAAGAAGCTGGACTATATGAAGGAGAATGTAACATCAGGATTGGAGGAAGAATCATTAACAACCTGTGAGATGAGGATGATACAATTTTGCTTGCTGAAAGTGAGGATGGCTTGAAGTACTTACTGCATCTGCTTGGGTTTCTGAGGTGGTATCACTGCGGTAAATTGGCCAATCTTCCTTCGGAGGAGTGGCTGGTGGGTTTGAATGGCCAGCTCTGATTAGCAGTCAAATGCCTTAGGCACTATGCCACGAGATAAGCCATTATTTAATCAAAATGAGTGCTCAACTTCCAACTTTCCCTTTCACCCTTACTAATTGTATGTCCTTGGATGAATGTACATAGTTTCCTTAGCCCTCAGCTCTGTCTTCTATTAACGGGAGATAAGAGTATTTACCTCAAGGTATTGTTGAAAGCTAAGTGAGAAAATTGATGTAAACTATGAAAGATAGTGCCCAACACATAGTAAGAGCTCAACAAATATTAGCTACAATGGTAGAAGTTATATCTCCTAACTTGAGTGATAGTTATAAATATCTTTGTATTTTAGGCAAATATACTCACTTCTTGCTTAACGACATAGTTTCCAAGAACCAATTTGTCTCACAAAAATCAACATTATGCAAAAATGGAGACCAGCAGGCTGTCATTCTGGGATCAGATCACAAAATGGAAGATGTCTGCATCATTACATAACTTCCATACCACTGAGAATCACAGCGCAGACAAGTTGGCACATAACCTTACAGCCAGTGTTACTCTCACCTCACACCTCAGCGTTCATTACTGCCAGATATACATCATTAATGTACAAAATAGTCAAATAGTAGGTTTGTGTTACTATTGCAGTAAATGTGCAACGTAGGATAATGAGAAAGCTGATAAGTGAGAAGGACATGCATTAAAAAAGAGACTCCCGAGGGATGGACACTGGGAAGAGGTAACTATGGGGAGGAAGTGGGAGGGGAGCTGTTGCATTGTAAATTTTGGTCAATGACATGAGACAAAGTATATTATGTGAACTGCTGTATGAAAAGTGAATTTACTCTGTAAATCTTCACCCAAATCAAAATAAAATTAAAAAAAAAAAAAAAAGAGAGACTCCCAATACTATGGCCCTGGAATACGTTCTGCACCTGGAATAAAAGTCACCCCCAGGGGCTGGCTCTCAGCCCAATAGTTAACAAGATGTACATGCAGACCACTCAACCCAAGATGACACACCCTTGTACTCTATGGTAATACATCCCTGAGAGAGGACCAACATTCAGGTTGAGGAAATGCAGGACAAACAGGAGTGCATAAGTATGACAGGCACAGGGGTAGGGTTACAGGGTAGGGAGGGGAGGAGACTGGGTTGGACATGGTAAATGGGGAGTGAAACTAAATGTACACCTAACGTTGAATGTAAAACAAGCTTTTAAAATAAAATTTAATTTTTTTTCTATTCCATGGAAATAGAGTAATTTACTGTTTGTTCATCAATTTATTTTTTTTCATATTTACGTAGTTGCACTTATGGCATGAGCCAATGCTGTAATAATTTATGTTTGAGAATTCTGATGAAATAAGTCACTCATCCCTACTTCACAGATTTAAAAAAAAAAAAAAAGTAACCTTAAGCTGGAAAAGGCTGGGTGCTTTTTCCTAGCCTCTCAGCTGGGTGGTACAAGTAGAATAGAAAACAAGTTCTAATGTCAAATTCTAAATAGACATCACACTTTTTAAAAGTTGTTTTTGTTTGCTTCAGCTGAGCAAAACAAAACCATGAACCACCAAAACTGTGTGTAGCATAGGTTAAAAATCAATTATGTAATTATTAATAATGGCAAAAGAATTGTTAAGTGGAATGTAAGTTCCTAAAGTTGATAATTATGGTCACATCTGATGATTTTAGGATGCTGATCAATGTATGTCTATAGAAAAAATAGCAATACAACCTTACAAGTCATTGCCAGCCACGCCCTTCTCTGTCTCTCTCAAGGCTTCATATATGAGCCTTCTCGAGATGATACATCCTTAATGCCCAGCAGCAGCTACTTCATTTCATTGTGGGTGTTGTTAGAGAGACAATGGTTAAGCATGTTTTCTTCTTGAGTTGAAACTAATTTCCTATTATTATTTGTTAGAACACTCTAAGGAACCCTTTTGTGCAAGTTTTTGTAAAATTCTCCGTGGGACTTGATGCTGTTGAACTATTAAAGCGAATAGATGAGCTTGGTAAGTCGAGACTCACACACCCTTTTACTCAGTAGTCACGTCAGAAATGTGAAAAGCATTGCCCCACATTGGAACCTTTTTTCCTTTTCTTTTGTGTTTTGTTTCTAGCTAGCTAATCTCAGAAAAGTAAAACCCTAGATATATCCATCCATCTTCTCCCTACATAGTTGTATAATTGCACGTAATAATGATTATTTAGATACTCAAATGGTGAATGTCTGCAGTCAGTGTTCAGTAACGACAATGCAGTATACTCCATAGAAATGCAGTTTTTTCCTTCCATCATAGATAGGTGCTTAAAGATCCTATCCAAGAAATAAAGAGGTCTTTTTTTTTGGGGGGGGGGGGCGGGTAACTTGATGATAAGCAAGTCCTTCAGGACAAGGGGAGTTGAAATGGTTTATTTCTGGCTACATTTAACATTTGATCTCCTCCATATCGTTTTGACAAGCCCAGCATATAATTGGAAGAGGTTACAGAGTTAGCAAAAGCAACACAAAGGCAAGGCAGAGTCACAAAAGAAAATAAACCTCAATCAGTATTCAAGGTTGGGTCCTCCTCTCGGGTCATTTAAAAGGAGCATTCTGAAGAGGATCAAAGGAAGCTGTCTGAACTTCTGCGTTCCTGCTGCCACATCCCCACCTTCAACCTCAGGGATGCAAGACATCTTATTCAGTCTATGTCTGACTCACTGTTGCTATGCAACCAGAGGTATGAAGAAGGGATGGAGAGCATCAGAATGAGGCATCTGCAGAGCAAATGCCTGTCCTCTCAGGCAGTGCTGGGACTTCAGGGGCTTTGTTCGTAAGCCAGTGGGAGGGATTATGCCAAAATTACATATCATATCATTGTATGCACTTGATGATAGTCAGCCCAGTCTTATAAAGAAAGGTGTTAGTGGATTTATTCTCTAAAAGTGTCATTTGGGTAAGGGACCATTTGATCAAAATATTAGAGATATACTCAAAGTTTTTCCATAAATGTTATTATTCTTAACTTTAGAAACAGCCAATAAGGTTTAGTATTTAAAGTGAGAATAAAATTAAGATAGCAGTGAGACTGATGTTTGTATTACTGTCTGTGTAACTTAGTGTCTAAGAGATTATAGTACAAACTGGGGGGCCACTGATCCTCACAGCTCTCTGTAACTGTCTACCTGCATTGCTAAAGAATCCTTGGGTGCTGTACTGATTTCCACTGGCCGCTGGAGGCCACTGTTCAACCACTATTTTACCCATCCCCCACCAACATCTTTATCAAGCAAAACATTTCACTTTAAATTCTAATGAGAAGTTATCTTCTGTGAAAAATTTAGTCTTACTTTAATGATTCAAGAAACATCTTTTAGTTCTGTGAGGAGGTATTCATGCTCCTCACAGCCTTCTCCCCATTCATGTTGATCAAGTCCTAGTGAAAATTTAATTGACCAAATGATTTATTAACTTGCGATTTCATATTTACCCTTTGTCTCAGTTGATTTCCTCACAAGGAATCATGAAATTGAAGCACAATTAAATCCCCTTTCTTCCAGAGTAATTGCCTAAAATAAAATCCTGATCATTTTGTCTAGATTAATACAGATATCAGAAGAGGTAATTCACATAAGATTTTAAATCAAACCCTATTAAAAAGTTGTAACTATGTGGCATAGATTCTCACAGCCCCTTAAGGAATATTCTATTGTAGAACTTATCAAATGATCGTTTCTTTGTTCTACATATTCTACGTAGACTATCCTTTGTATTCTTATGTTCACATTTCCTGTGCAAATCAAGCATTCCTATTTGTTTGTCCTAAACTTTCATCTCTAGTTTCTTCTTTTCTTCCCATTCCATGTATATATAATATATTTTTAAAATTATTTATCCTTAGTCATTAGTTAATTAAATTGTAGCAGAATATGCTTTTAAATTGTCTTGCCTCTCACTTTGAACCTGGGTTTACTGCATTTGTAACTAATTTACCATTCTCCTTAATGAATATTTGTATAACCAGATGCACTTCCCTAGTTTTAGAGTACTAGATATATTTAGAGAAGCTCTGGTGGCATAGTGCCTAAGGCACTTGACTGCTAACCAGAAGGCTGGCGGTTCAAATCTACCAGCCACTCCTCAGAAGGAAGGTTGGGCAATCCTACTTCTGTAGTGATACTGCCTCGGAAACCCAAGGAGGGGTCGCTATGAGTCGGGCATGACTGGACGGCACATAACAACAACAACAACAGATATATTTAAAGTGCATTCTACAGCCTCCTATTATTTATAACCCAGTTTAATGTTTAATATTTACCATTCAGTATTTTGCCTCATGACATCTAGAATCAAGACTGTAATGTTTTTGTCTGTTTTGCTCTGCTTCTGTAGACACCTTAAGGATGACACTAGAGAACCACATGGACATCATTGACCATCTTAACACGCTATCTTCCCTGACAGTGAATATTTCTTCCTGTGTATTGTATGACCGTATTCAGGCAGCAAACACCATAGAAGAAATGGAGAGCGAGGCTAAAAGCCTCTCCAAAAGCAATGAACTCTTTGGAAGTAAGTGCTATTCTACTAGGCTTTGAGCTTCTCTTTGTACTAAAATTGGCCAAATTCTGCCTTCACCTCTTTCATCCAAAACTCAGAAGAGTAGTCCAGGGATCACTGCCTCCTCTGATGTCGTTAGAAACAAGAACATTTCGTGGAGTCAACCAAACATCTTGCCTAAGTATGAGGAGCCTTCAACATAGGCCTAATTTTATTGGCGTAGTTAAAATTAAGAATGAAACTGATACAGTTATAGGGTGAACTTGAGTCCATCCTCATAATCAGCCAAAATTATTCATTTACAAGTGTTCCCTCCCCCCCCCATACACCTTTTTTAATTTCAGTAAGTAGACTGGAGCCATATATTCTGTCTGGCCACTTAGTCTGTGATTATAGTCTCAGACTCTGGCTTTGGATCTCTGAGGTGGTCACTTCCTATTAACTATCTTTTCTGTAAATTAGGAGCCTGAACCTGCTGTCACATTACTAACTCAATCGACTGTTTGGCTGCCCCCTACATGCACCCTCCAACCAATGAATAATGTCAACCATAACATAACCTTCCTGCTGTTGTTGCCATTATATTTTTAGGTGTTATTTTTAAGCTTCCTTCTAACCGAAGACAGCAGAGAGATTATGCCTCTGAAAATGTCTCTATTCCTCCTGTTGTAAAGTATACCATCCGCATGAGTCTCAAGACTGCGCAGACTACAAGAAGCATAAGAACGAAGATTTGGGCCCCGGGACCACACAATTCTCCATCCCACAACCAGATCTATGGCAGGGCCTTTATTTACTTACAGGATAGTATTGAAAGAGCCATTATTGAATTGCAGACTGGAAGGAGCTCCCAGGAAATAGCAGTCCAGGTCCAAGCAATTCCTTATCCTTGCTTCATGAAAGACAAGTAAGTCTGTGCACTTTCAGTCCTTTTAATGACGGACTTTTTTTGAGAACTCATTTCTGCTCACTCAGATATTATTAAATGAAAGAGATAATTTTCCCAATGACTTTATATGCTTGATTCTGGGAAATGGCCCACACTAATAAGGCACAACTCCATAATAGCCCCTCATTGTCACCAAAATGATGATAAAGAGCTTAGCAAATGATTCATGTTTCCTTTATTATAAACCTTGGCTCTCAAAGAACTCTGGTCTAGGAATTAGAATAATTGAGCTCCCAGTCCCAAGTCCATCACTGATAAGTTTGGGTGTTACCTTCTCTCTACTGGTCTTACCTTTGTTACTCAAATGAGGTGGTTGCAAAAGATAATCTTCAAATTCATTCCAACTCCCAAATTTCATAAAAATCTGTGAGTGCATGGTCAATTTTAATTAAAAATATAGGAAAAATAGATGAAATCATGAACACATCATTGATGAACTCTCCAAAATAAATATTGCACTGTCTGAAGTATTTTATGTACTGTCAGACCATTTGTTAGGAACTCTCTTTATCTAAAATGGTTTTGCTAAATGGACAAAAAAATATAAAGATTATGAATTTAGACAATTAAATTTGAACATTCAAGAAATCTACCAGTTAGGTAGCACTGAATGACTTCCCCAAGTGGGCCACAGTTAAAAAATAAGATGGTAGCATTTCAATTTTTCAAACTCATGTTCCAACATAAAAGTTTGAAGCTGAATATTACTTTAAAGGAATATTATTTGTTATTCATCACATTTATTTTAGTATATATACAATTCAGATGGTTCTGGCTTTTTCGTTGTTGTTTTTCCTTTCTTTCTATCAACGCTTCTGTCATCCCTTGGCTGCTTCAAGAGCTATAGGTGAGATGAGGTTGTAACCCTTTGTGCAACAGTGATGTGAGAGACAGATGAGGATTGCATTGAATGAATTGTCATGGGTAGCTGTCTGCTCTGGAGACTTTGCCTGAACTGTGTGTGAACTGCAAAGGCTTGCTTGAATAGTAATGACCTGTGGGTCCAATTAAATTAAAATTCTTATCTGTTTTCCTTCTCACATCTTTTGCCAGGTAAATTTTGATACAAAGCATGGTGGGTATTTGGATGTTTTTAAAGAATAAAAGTAACTGTACTCTGTGCTCTTTATAAGAGCATGATCATAATGCCTTTCATATACAAACCCTTTGTCACATAAATGGTACTTTCATATATATTATTTCATTTGTTCCCACAAAGTAAGTGGGAACAAGTAAGATCACCCATACATTGCAGATGAAAAAAAAAAAAAAAAAACTGAAATCCAGAAAGGTTAGGTAATTTGCCCAAGATTTTATTGCTGGTGCCATATTGAACTTTCTAACGGGATGACTAGCATTTTCTCCTTTCTACTTTATACCAATCCTAAAGTACACAATCTCTTAGAAGAAGCACTACAAGGATTTATTGTGAAGGAACGAGAGGCATTGCCTCACTCTAGAGTCTGAAGCAGCAACAAGGCTGTACTGTCCCAAGACAAAATTCACTCAACAATTATTCTTTAAGTGCTTACCCCATGCCAGAAAGTTTCCCAGGAACCAAATTATTGGGCATGACCCTAACCCCCTTCTTTCCCCACCAGAAAAATAAATCAACAAATAAATCTTATATCTCTGAGTATGATAAACTTCGACACGCTAAAGTAATAATGAATGATAGTGATGTCATGTTCCCATAATATTTACTTTTTTCTTGGGAACTTGAGGTAATTCCTTAGTCTTCTAAATTAAAGAAAGAGGCCTGGTGATGCAGTGGTTAAGTGCTCATCTGCAAACCAAAATATCGGTGGTGTGAACCCACCAACTACTCTTTGAAATCCTGTGGGGCAGTTCTACTCTAGCCTGTAGGGTCACTGTGCTTTGGAACCCAGTCAATGGCAATGGGTATATAGATTAAAGAAGAAATGGCCTTAGGGCATTTCTTCAAGTAAAATCTTCAGTAGAGACCAATATGCAAAACAGATCAATTGAGAGTTTCTCTCATTGAAAACCCCTGACCAGGGAAGGGCAGCTAATATCAGAACTGGGTTCTCGAAGTATGATCCCTGGGACAGTAGCACCAGCATCACCTGGGAAGTTGTTAGAAATGCAGATTCCAGGCCCCACCCCAGATATGACAAATAAGAAGCTTGTGGGTGGGACTCAGACATGCGTGTTTTAATAAGTCCCTCAGGTAGTTGTGATGCATGGCCAACTTTGAGAGCCAGTGTGATTGGACTTTGGGGCATTACAGGCAGGCCACTCAGTCACATTTGTGGGGCTTATCAGGCTCTTCTAGTAACTTGCCAGTCAATTGACATGACCAAACACATTTCATAGAAGACATTTCTCTGCATTATTCGTCAAACAACTTCCGGGACATTTCTTTGTGGAACCCAAGTTCTTTGTCTCCATTTTAAGTGGAATTTTTTGCATCTTATTTTATTTCATTTTGAGAAATACGGTGTAATAGTAGCTGTAAGCTTCCAAAGAGTAGATAAATACAGTAATTTTGGAGGATATCGCTTTTAACTAGATAAACCAGTCACCACCTAATTTTAAATCTGTCTTTTGGATAGGAATTTAGTTTAAACATAAGGATTTAGGCCTTGCAATTACATCTATATAATAATTATTTTCCTGGGTGGAACATACTCAAACACACTTTAAACATTTTAGCAATTTTATCTAACAATCCAGAGCTGTTTTTCACTCTTGTAGCATTGTAGCAAGAAAACCACGGGCTTGCTATTAAGTTACCTGTACGCTTAATTAATAAATAAATAAACCAGACTCATTGCTGTCAAGTGGGTTCCAGCTATGAGCTGGACAGAGGTGAACTGCCTTATGAGATTTCCTGGACCATAATCTCTACAGGAGCAGACTGCCACATCTTTCTCCTCCCACACAATGGTTGGTGGATTTGAACCACTGACCTTTCCCTCAGCAAGCCAGTCACCTGAACCACTGCACCACAGAACTCCATGGTGAACAAATAATGGAATAATATTAGAGGTTAAGTGGCGTGTGGTTAAGGTATTGAGCTGCTAACCAAAAAGTCAGATGTTTGAACCCACAAGCCGCTCCTGCCGGAGAAAGAGGAGGCAGTACGCTTCTGTAAAGATCTATAGCCTTGGAAACCCTGTGAGGGTGGATATGAGTCAGAATTTACTCAATGGCAGCGGGTTGGGTTTAGGATCAATTTCAAATGATGAATATAATTTCAATATGAGAGAGAGTGTGTGTTACAGTGTGCGAGTCCCACATTCATTTCGGTCATGGATTTTTGTTTTTGTTTCTGTCTTCACAGCTTCCTAACCAGTGTCTCTTATTCTTTTCCAATTGTTCTCATGGTTGCCTGGGTGGTATTTATAGCTGCTTTTGTAAAAAAGCTTGTTTATGAGAAAGACCTCCGGCTTCATGAGGTATGTTGAAAATCCTTTCTTGTTATAAATAATTTTTATTCTCAATATAACTAATCAGTATAATTTTCTTCATTCTATACAAACTAAGAAAGTCTGACCCATACCTTGTAAGTTAGATGGAAGGAAAAACATTTTACACTCACAAAGACAGTGAGAGGCAATATTTGATTTTTTGAAAAAGTTACAAAGAAGTCGTTTCGTGAGTGCTTAATAAATACAGAAATCTGTGTAATTACAGTTTATGATTATATAAATAATTTTTACCAGATAAGTTACCTAAAGGACTTGGGATATAACAGTGGATGTTCAAATAACAACAGTGTTAACTACTAAGGCAGGGGGATTGTTGGCATGGTAACTCAACAAGTCGAAATGTAGATACAGATATAAGTCTTATTTCAGCTTTCATGAATGAAATTCTTTTTCTAGTGCACCTTGTTTCCTTCAATTACTTCTCCTCCATCTCTCACTGGCTACTGATGTGTAGAGACTAAGAGTTTGGTGTGATGTTACTGATTAGATTAATCGTGATGTGACAGTGGAGAGAGGACCTGAGGTGTAAACCATGAGCTCTTCTTAAGCGTGTTCTTTATCATTAACTCAAATCCATAATATCTTCTTTTTAGAATTTATGACAAATCATTGTGTGATTTTTAGATGATATTGTGATAGAACATACTTTATCTGTTCATCCATAAAGAGCCCATGCTTGCACCTACTTGTGGAGTGGAAACAAAGCTGAACCAGTCAAAGCTTGGGGCACAGTAATTATTGCAAGGCCTGGCTGACAATCTGAAATAATGAGGTTAGGGTAACCTGGTGTCCATTTGTACTTTTTCAGACTTACCAATGCTTCTAGGCAATTGGTTATTTCTCTATACTAGATGCCAGTTACTGCTTCA